ACTACACAGTTAGAAATTTTTTTTTTTTTTTTTCTCAATCCACACCAATATTTTTCAAATAATGCTAAACTATTGTCATCTCCCTTCACAACCCTAACTCTAACCCTAACCCTAACCCTAACCCTAGCCACCACCCACAAGGGTTGCAAATGAACCGAGCTGTTCGCAAGTTGGCTCGGCTCGTTAAGGGCTCAACTCGGTTCAACTTGTTTAGTAAACGGGTCAAACTCAAACTCGAATATTATGCTTGTTTAGTAAACGAGACGAGTTCGAGTTCAAATAAGCTCAGCTCATTTATCTTTATTTAAATTATATAATAAATAAACTAAACCAAACCAAACCAAACTAAGCCAAGCCTTAAGTCCCATAAAATGGAGTCGGTTACATAAATCATTCTTTTTCACTCGACTCTATCAATGGCCATTTGATTAGTCAAATTAAAAAGATTCATATCTCTATTTACTACACTCGCCCACATCAACCTAGGTCTGCCTTTTCCCTTAACATTTCCATCTACCGTCACTGTATCACATCTCTTCACAACTGCCTCTGTTGGCCTCCGTTGTATATGACCAAACCATCTCTATCTATTCTCTCTCAACTTATCTTCTATCGGTGCTACTCTTGCCCCCATTCACGAATATACTCATTCCTAATTCTATCTTTTTTAGTCTTACCAAACATCCATCTTAGCAACCTTATCTCAGCAACACTCATCTTATCTACATGTGGTTTCTTAGTTGCTAAACATTCCGTCCCATACAACATCGTTGGTCTAATAGCCGTTCTTTAGAACTTTCCTTTTAGTCTAGTGTGTACTGAGATGCACTCCTCCACTTAAGCCACCCTACCTTAATTTTGTAGATCACATCCGCTCCAATCTCCCTTACCATTGTGATAATCGATCCTAAATAACGAAAATGTTCACTCTTAGGTAATTCTTGATTCTCAATCTTCACTTCTTCTCTGCTGCCATTATTACTATTACTAAAATTACACTCCATGTGCTCTATCTTTGTTCTACTTATCCTAAATCTGTTAGATTTAAATGGCTGTGTTTAGTTAGCCTCTCTAAATATATTTCCACCCCATGTTTTGCACATGGCGTTTATTTTAAAGTTTTCAAAAATTAATTCCACACCCACTTTTCAAAACTTTGTCAAAGGCGGAAAAATTTGAGCTAACCGGTCATCCCACCGGACGTCCAGCCGGTTGACCAGAACAGTGCATAATTTTTTTTTTCTTGCAATTGACACATGTTAATTTTTATATATTCAATAAAAAAATATTTTCCGAATTTTTTAAAATTTTTCATGAGTTTTGAATATAATTTTGAGTTGTGTGTTTGGTTATGAATTGTAAATTTTTATATCAAATATCATGTGTCACATCAAAAATTCCCCACTCAATTCAAAACTCATTTCAAAACTCATTCACCAAACAAATTTTTCACGCTCAAATCATAATTTCAAAACTCACAAACTCAAAATACAACTTTATTCTCAAATCATATTTAGAAAACTCTACCAAACGCAACCAATGTTTCTCTCCACATTTCCAACTTAGTGTTAACTCCTCTAGTCTCATCCATTAAAACGATATCACATGCAAAGAGCATACACCATGACACGTCATCCTGAGTATTTCTCGCCAACTTATCCATAAATAAAGCAAAAAAATAACAACTTAAGGTTGATCCTTAGTGTAACCCCACAGTAATTGAAAATTGACTTGTCTCTCTAGCAAGTGATCTAATAGTGGTCGCCACACCTTCATACATGTCCTTAATCGCATCAATGTACCCTTTTGTCACCCTATTCTTTTCTAACACCCACCAAATTATATCCCAAGGCACTCTATCATATACTTTCTCAAGATCAATAAAAACCATATGAATGTCACTTTTCTTTTCTCTATACTTTTCTATTACTCTGCTCAAAAGATAGATCGCTTCCATTATTGACCTACCCGGCATAAATCCAAATTGATTCTCTGACACCTCTGTTATATCTCGCAATCAACGTTCCATCACTCTTCCCCACACTTTCATTTATGAAACATCAACTTGATTCCTCTATAGTTGTTGCAATTCTGGACATCACCTTTATTGTTATAGATTGGCACTAAAATACTCTTCCTCCACTTCTCTGCGATTTTCCTAGTCAACAAAATATTTCTAAATAACCTAGTTAACCAAGCAACCACCTTTTTATCCAACCATTTCCAAGCTTCAATAGGAATATCATCGAGTCCTAAAGCTTTATTCAATTTCATCTTCTTAAGTGCAATCTCCACTTCAAAGTTCCAAATCCTACGATAGAACCTGTAATCTTGGTTTTCCTTATTACTGGCTACTTTTTAAAGCACTCTCTTTTCATCTTTACTACTGCTTGAACCTCCTCCCTCCACCACCAAGTTTCCTTAAAGTTGGGTCCCTTTCCTTTCGACTCTCCTCAGACTTCCCTTGAGATTCTCCTCATACAATGGCCATCGACTTCCACATAGTGTTAGCATCATCTTCCAAGAATTTATATAATAAATATATTATTTATATATTAAATTAATATATAAATAATAATAAAAAAATCTTATTGAGCCGAGCCAAGTTTCATTAATATTAACGAGCCGAGCTGAGCTCAAGCCCAATTAGTTATCAAGTCAAGCTCGAGTTCAATAAACAAGCTCGATAAATAAACGAGCCAAGCTCGAGCTCAGCAAAGCTCGGCTCGACACGGTTCATTTGCAACCCTACCACCCACCACTAGTGCCACCACCATCACCCATTTTCACTATTGCTACCTCGTCCTTTCCAACTCCGGTGACTCATTCCAATCACCCATACCCCTCCCTACCACCCCTAAAGCCTCCTCTGTCCACTATCCCTCTCCCTCGCTATCACCCCTACCCTTCTCTCTCTCTCTCTCTCTATTACGATCACAATCTATTCTCTCATGATCCATCGTGATTTGCAGCCATCCATTGTCGAAAGTGGTTTCGGGGAGGTGGGTTGCCGAGTTGGTAACTACACTAGTACTGGAAAGGGTGGTGGCAACAGGGTTGGAAGAAGGCAGTGGCAAGAGCGAAAAATAAAGGGGTTGACGACGGTGGCGGTGGTGATGGCTAGTGTTGCTGGTGGTTACTGGTGGCGTGGTATGGTGTGTGGTGAGAGATTGAATTTTGGGTTTTGTCCAAATTTGTAATTACGTAAGGGATAATGGTAATTAAAACGAATTGGTCAATGTTGTGAACTAAGAGCAATGTTTTGAAAACCGGACTAAACTAGCAGGTTCAACTGGTTGAACCCTTGACCGCTCTAAGGTCAAGTCCGTATTAACTCCAAAACCTATTTTGTGTTGAAAACTGGCTTATTTTCATTAAACCGGTCAGAACCGCTAATCTAGCAAACCTATTCAAACCAAAACCGGTTCAACTAAATTGGTTGAGCACCCATTTTGCCTAAAGCCAAACAAATTTCAAATCTAAGTTGCTTGGGAGAGAGGAACACAGAACCACATGAAAGTAGTATGCCAACATAACCAGTATGACACCTTCAACTTTTGTTTATATACTATACAAATAAATGTAACTTAATTCTTATATTATTATTAAGTAATTTTTAATATATTTATAAAATAATTAGGATGTCACAGTTCCATTCTGTTTTGACTTGACAATTGAACCAGTGACCTGTCCACCCAATCCCTTTTTCTGTTTGCTCACCAATCCGATTTTTAAAACCTTGACTAAAAGGAAAGGTGGTGTGTAAATAGAATTTCCCTTTCAAACATTATGGGCATAAGATTTTTTGTTGTGTTGGCCTCGTTTGGGAACAGACTATTTTAGTAACTTTTTTACTTTTTGGCTAAAATATGAGGTAAAAAAAACTAGTATGTTTAGAATGACTTTATGGTTTTTTACGAAAAGATGTGAAAAAAGTAGAGAGAAAAGGGAATCTTTGACTTTTTGGTATAGGTTATGGCTTTTTGATTTTTTTAGTAACTTTTTTACTTTTTAGGCTAAAACGCTCGCATGCCAAATGAGGTAAAATTAAAAAGACCAGGATCATCAAAATTTTATTGGTGGCAATAAATTCACAACTCCTGATTTTAAAGAAGAGAAAGGACCAAACAGGCTTCAGAAGTAAAATATTTTGCTTCTAAGAGGAATTACATAGGTTAGACGTCAAGGGGGATTTACATGACAGATTCACTTTTATGAAGGATAGAAAGTATAGATAAGAAGTCTACTGCTGCTACGCATAGAAAGTCCACACTAAAAATAACTATAAAATTTTACCAAACAGAAAATATGGAAAGTCTATTTTTTGAATGGCCTCAGCAAAAAACGAAGTGCAAATTTACGTGCAAACACCAGGGTACACTCGATCTTGATTTAATGAAGCTGGTTTTTTGCTTTACTAAGTTAGTGCATTGAAGCCATGTATCATACATATTAATCACATATAGAGATGGATAGCTTAAGGGTCATTGGATTTACGATGACAGACAAATCAACTCGAATCAATCCTATCAACACAAGTCTGTAGGAGGGTTTTACATAGATCTGGTTTCAAAAACATCACAGAGCTAGAAAAACTCTTTAAACAACTTGTCCACTTCTTGCATACAAATAAAAAACTTAGTCAACTAAGATTAGTAAAGGACCTAAAGAATCTATATTGCAGAAAACTTTCTAATGTAGAATAGAGGCTAGAAAGCAGATAGGCATGAATGCAATTTAAAATTCTTACAGATTGTAATTTGTGACTTGATTCAATATCGACAATGAATAATAATTCCCAATCAAACAACCATAGATCTAATGCACTTATGAGAGAATTGAATTAGATCTACTATCAAGCAACAAGAACGGACAAACGATTTTACATGGAAAAAACCACAATTGGACTCTTCTAATTGCAATAAAAAATCACAGACCAATAGCCACCAAAGCAATCCCCTAAGAAGAACAAGAATTACACAAGGAATTCATACAATCACCTAGCGAATCCACACCGAATTGCCTCAAATTCCTCGCACCTCTTCTAGAACTCTTCTAAAACCATCTTCACCTCAGAATTGCTTCGCCAAATGTTGAATCCACAATGCCAATGTCAAATCCACGACAATGAGCCACTCTGGAATCCATCGAAGTTTCCAAGCTCATGTTCTCCCATAATCCACCGATGAACATCTCTAGAAAAGTGTAATTGAAGAAGAAACCCCTTGATGATCTTCAATATAAAGCATGTTAATCCGTTGATCACTCTCAATTCATCAAGGTACACATGTAGATCTCAATAGAAACATCTCTCTTTTTTGCACTAGGGATAAATATCTAAGAGTCTCACCTTAGATCTGATCTAAAAACGCACTTTTAAGTGACTGTAATTGACTCAGACCGCTCGAGCACAAATTTGGTTGCTCAAGAAACTTTATGATGTAGCAGGATTTGTCTGTGAGGCTTTGAGAAGCTGCAAGCATGTCTTGGCCTTTCGAGTTCATATATCTCTGCTTGAGCACAAACTGGGCTGGATTCTCATCTAAAGCATTGTCAATCTCACAAAAACAAAAGAACAAATGTGATTACAATTGAATGGAGTTTTATCCAACGGAATAGCCGACTACAAAAGGCCTAACAATCTCCCCCTATGAAGCATGGGTACGGATACGAGTATTGGTACTGGTACGATACGGGTATGTCGATACAGTAAAATCTAAAAAAAGTAGGGTATGGGTATGGCTTGGTATGTTTGTAAAAAAATATTTATTTTTAATTTAGAGTAACGCAAAAATTGATTAAATGGTTTAATTTGTTAAGATCCAACCTACAATTAACATTTAATACCAAAAGTAAAGGTATAAACCAAAATTAAACGTCAATACATTAAATAACTTGCAAACCATAGCTTAATTTTAATATCATGCGAAGCATAAAACTAAAAATAAAAAAAAAAAAGTATAGCGAAAGGAATTTTATCTCTGTAGTAGAAGCAAATATTATTTCAACTGAGGTACGGTATGGCTTGGGTATATACTAAGTACGTCTAGGTATACCAAAAATTAAGAAGAAAAAATTTGGGTACGTGTTTCATGTACCCGGTACGTATGCAGAAGTACCATATGCCGGTAAGTACCTAGTATGGGTACATGTTTTTCGAAGTACCCATGCTTCATAGATCTCCCCCTTTGGCAATTTTGTGACAAGACACACTTAAACAATGAATTCGTAATCCCAACCCAACCATAAGCAAGGGAATAGACGATGGAATACCCAACATTAGCCTGCGATAAATGAACATCACAAATCAACCTGCAAAACAACTTGCATCAATCTCCCCTTCAACAACTAATATAGCATGCCAACACTCAACAAACTCTCCCTCAACAATTAACCCAAGAAATCTCCTTAAATCATAAACAATAACTTGCCCCAAATACAAAAGATTTTTGCAGAAAAATATTGGCAATAGCAATATGGTGGAGCAAACAAGGAGTTCCAGATTAGTACTTCAATACACACAAGAACATCCAAGAAACACAATTACTTGAAAACATAATGTGTGCAATCTCTAGATGATTTCCCATGAATGAATGTAATACAACATATGAATAGCATAGATCTCATGAAGAAAGTGTGTTTGTGTCTCTTGGAGTTCGACAAACACTAGAGTCAAATCCTAGTAGTGATCAAATGGCTGGACCTCCTACAAATAATTTGCATGTCACTGGGGACGTCAAACCACTAGAGATAAGGTGGTGTTTGTTGACAAAATTGCAAGTGCTCCCCTTAAAAAACAGGATGTTCTTTGAATGAATTTCTTTTCTTGCATTATCATCAGTGGCTTTCACGCTCAAGAGCATGGAAGCCAAACCTAGCGAAGAATGAAATGAAACAAGAATTGGTGACTTACTCTGAGGCAGCTCTTTCCTCAAGCCATGTGTAACAAACATGGATGAGGAAGCAATGATAGTGCAAAAGTGAGGAGGGAGTCGGAGGGGGGGAGTCCAGTATTTTCTAATCCACGAATGTTTTCAGAACGAGACATACTAATCAATGCACACACAATATCCACAGATATCGCTCACATATTTTCAAGTAATGTAATCAATTCTGACATGCATCAAAGACTCAAAAATTTTAAGCTTGCAAAACCATACTTTGAAAATCTTTTTGGATTTTTGACAGGCAAGGTAAAATAAGAAAAAGCAACTAAGCACAAAAATAAAAATAAAAAATTTAAAAAAAAAAAAAAGAAAAGAAAAAAAGACCACTCTGATACCAATTGAAAAATCTAAAATTCTCCAAGATTGTAATTTGAAACTATGATTCAATATCGATAATGAATAATAATTCCCAATCAAACAATCATAGATGTAATGCAATTATGAGATAATTGAATTAGATCTACTATCAAGCAATAATAATGGACACAAACAACTTTAAGTGGAAAAAACACAATTGGACTCTTTTAGTTGTGATAAAAAACCACGGGCCAACGACCACCAAAGCAATCCACTAAGAAGAATAAGAATTACACAAGGAATTCATTCAATCATCTAGTGAATCCACACCCAATTACCTCAAATTCCTCGTACCTCTTCTAACATCATCTTCACTATGGAATCGCTTCTCCAAATGTTGAATCCACAGCGCCAATGTCGAATCCACGACGATGAGTCACTTCAGAATCCACCGAAGCTTCTAAGCGCAAGTTCTCCAGAATCCACGGATGAACATCCCTTTAGAAAAGTGTACTTGAAGTAGAAACACCTTGATGATCTTCAATATAAAGCATGTTGATCCATTGATCACTCTCAAAACATCAAAGGTACACATGTATATCTCACTAGAAAACTCTCGTGTTTTTCGCACACCGGGATGAATATCATGAGAGTTTCACCTCACGCTCCGTTTGTTTAGGCGGAAAACATTTTCAAATGGAAAACATTTTTCAATGTTTGGTGGTGGTCGTAGTGAAACGAAGGTGGAGGTGGAGGTGGAGGTGGAGGTGCAGGCGGTAGTGGGGTGGCAGTGGCGGTGGTTATAGCGATAGTGATGGTGATAGTGGCCATGGTGATGGTGGTGTTGTAGTAGAGATGAGACTCGCGGTGGTAGTGTGGTGATATTGGTAAGACTTTAGTCTAGAAAACGTTTTCCGCCTTTTAAAAGTGGAAAACATTCTCTGCCTATATAGGCTTGTTTTTTATTGACTATGAAAAATGTTTTTTGTTGACTTTCGTTTTACAGTGTACCAAACACTAGAAAATACAGAAATTTTTTTTCCAAAAAATGTTTTTCGCCCAAACAAACAGAGTGTTAGATCTGATTAAAAAACGCACTTTCAAGTGACTGTAATCGACTCAGACTGCTCGAGCGTAACTTTATGTGCTTGAGTGCACATTTCTTCTCTAGAAGCACAAATATCTCTGTTCGAGCACAAATTGGGCTGGATTTACGTCTAAAACATTCTCAATCTCACAAAAGCAAAATAACAAATGCGATTACAATTGAATGGAGTTTTGTCCAACAAGATTGCCAACTACAAAAGGCCTAACAAATATTTACTTCAACAAGTTAAATGAAAAATCTTCTGAGAAAAAACATTACGAATCTAATAAAGATGTCCACTGGCACAAAGAGCAAAGTCATTGGTAGATGCAAAATAGAGTCAAATTTATGTTTACGTGAAATAGAAGTAATGCTACCTTAAACCTACCTACCACTACTTGTATAAAAATGAAAAGGATGTAATCAACTCAAAATCATAGCAAGGGTCCTCGTCAAGTGGTTTCATGTTCTTCACAAGCCTACTCATTTGTGCTTTCTATCTCCTTACATGTGTATAATCACACCAAATGATCAAGAGTATTGAAACCGATTTTACCAGATCAACAGCTTTCTCTTAAATTGGACCACAAAGTAATTGTCAGGCTCATGGAAAAGCATAATGAAACTATTACCAATAATTTCCTACAGCTTGTGTCCCTTGGACCGGATTGTAAAATTATCAACAAGGTAATTACTAGAGACATCCACAGTAACTTCAAGAAAACAATTGCTAACATTTAGAGACAAAGTGATACTAATAATTTATTCCTATACTCACACCAATAGTAGACTGCATTTGCTCCAGCAAGTTTAAAATCAAATCAAAAGGAATTTTCTTATGAATGTGCAGTCTCAGTTAAAAATAGATAAATTAACATAGACTAATGACTCGTACCATTTTTTTTTTAAAGTAACTAAAACAAATTATAGAATAATTTTCAAAGCCATAAAAGTGCATATTACATAGCATTCCAATTTTCAAAGGTAAAACAATCCACATCCAACAAAAATATATATATATATATATATATATATGAAGCTTTTTGCAAGTGAAACACTGAAACTATAACTATAAAAAACAAAAATTGGAAATGAAGTAATACTCAAACAAATAATGCTCAAGGAATTTTAAAATTTTTTTTTTTTTTTTCGGTAAGTTGATGTTCATTTGAAGCTTTTTTGTAAGTGAAACTATAACTAAATTTATGTAGCTAATCAGTGTTTCCAAATTGAAAGTTAAGTGGCAAACAAAGTGCTGTCATATCATTAAATTAAAAATTCCAAGTGCAAGATGATGTCACACCTGATGACATTCTCAACTAAAAAAGAAAATCAATTGTCTCTATTTGATTATAAGAAGAAGAATAGCCCAGCCCAGCACATCGAATAAGCAACAGAAAAAAAATAAAAAAAATTGAGACAGATGGAAAAAAAAATAGAGGCAGCGAAGAAGAAGAAGAGAATGAGAAGAAGAAGAAGAGAATGAGAAGAAGAAGAAAGCATCGAAGAAGAAGAACTACCTGGTCCAGAGAAGACGAGACAAGCCGGAGGGAAGAGACACTCCGACACCGTCAGGTTTCTTCGCAAAAAAAAATCGAAGAAGAAGAACACAGCGAAGAAGGAGAAGAAGAAGAAGCAAAAGAAGAACTCACCTGGGCCAGAGACAAGACTAGACAAGCCGAAGGGAAGAGAAGAGACACCGCAAGATTTCTTCTTTCTTTCGAATTGATTTGGGCATTTCAAATCGATTTGGGGCTGGCTATTGAGAAGTATAGCTCAAAGGTTTAATCCTCTGTGATTGAGGCCTTTAAAAACACGATATCAACCGTTAGATCCAATTAGACACCAAAAAAGAACAAGTTGCAAACAGTCACGCAATTTGCGCCTTTGTTCACCTAGCTGAGTCGCACAAAAGGTGCGCGCCTTCTTCAACTCACCTCGCCTTGGGTTGCTTCAGGCACCGCACCTGTGCCTCGCTGCGCCTTGCACTTAGGCGCGCGCCTTTCACAACACTGCTGGTATCTTTGATGGTTTATATTCAAGGTTTTATAGACAGTACCCTTAACGAAGTCTATCTTCCACTATCATAGTAGTTTTCATACAGACACAAAATATCCTGGCAAAGTGGCCTCACTTTTATGAGAGTACAAGAAAGGAATGCATACCCTGTCACCTCATCATGTACAAAGAATATCAAGTAGCCATCATCTTCTTCAGAAGTAACACCAGGATCACGAGGGACAAAAATAGCCTCTGAACCAAATCTATGAGGTCCTAGGTCAAAAATGCCTTGAATATTTCCTCCGACTTCAAGCTTTGTCTTTCCAGACTCTGGTTCCGCATGCAAATCAAATTTGATAATTCCAGTGACCTTTGCGATGCTGTCCAATGTAGTTGCATATACAAATCGTTGTTTCCTAAATTTACACAATATAATTAGTAAGCATGGTGCTGATAGAAAGAAAAATTTCTGACAATCTAGTTAATACCCGAGAGAAAATGATGAAATTAATGTAACTCTAGCTACATAATAAAATGAGTGGAAGATAAGAAAACACATTCTGAACGTGATTGTCTTTACACATGAATTACTGAAAGAAAAGTTTCTAGCAAAAATATTCAAATTAATGTTTACATAAGATGATGCAAACAGCAGACAAGCTTGTAACAATCCAGCACACAGCTTTTTCACATGCATTATTAACATGGTTTATTTGCATCACCGGTGTATCTTCCCAGACACAATTTGACCCCAAATCTTCTAAATTATAAAAACTAAAACATTACTTGATACCTTCCAGTGTAACTCTCATTCACCCTTGGAAAATCTACAGCAGGTGCTGATAGTTTCCTCTGTGATGCCAGACCAGTTTTCATGTTGAATCTCATTTCATACCTGAAAAGAATAAACACCATCAGTAAACTGTTTGATGCTAGTACAAGTATAATAATAATATATTCAAAGTGTAAGAGTCATACAGTTCATTTCCAAAATTCTCGAGCTTTTCTTTGACAGGCCCATTAACCATGTCTAGATCTGGATTCTCAAGGCGGCAAGTGATCAAAACTACTTCATCCCCTTCCTCCCAAGCATTTGCTAGAAAGAAAAATAAATAAATAAATAATTTCATTGAAGAGGTAAGAGTAAAAACAAGATAAAATCAAGCATTACTTTCTCATGAATGAAATAATTCCATAAGGAGGAGAGTAGCTTGCGTACAAGAAACTAAGTGGACGCGTAAGAAAGCTAGGGAAATTGAGGATACCGGTTTTAAACTGTATTATAGTGGTAAGGATAAACGCAGGAATGGGGTAAGAATCATAATTGCCGAGGGTCTGGTGGAGAATGTAGTAGCGGTCATTAGGAAAGGGGATATGATTATGTTAGTTAAACTAGTTATTGGAGGGAATATAGTGAACGTTATTAGTGCAAACGCCCCTCAAGTAAGATTAGATAATCAGACTAAGAGGGATTTTTTAGAGCAAATGAATGAGAACTTACAAGAAATGCCCGTAGGAGAAAACATGGTTATAGGTGGAGATTTTAATGGCCATGTAGGCATAGATAAACTAGGCTATGAAAGGTCCATGGTGGATAGGTTTTGGTGACAGAAATGAGGCTGGAGAGAGTATCTTAGATTTTGCGTTGGCTTCTGACCTGGTGGTGGCCAATACTATGTATAAGAAGAGGGAAGAGCATTTGATAACTTTTAAAAGTGGGTCAGTAAGAGCCAAATAGATTACTTCTTAGTGACAAAAGTGGACCGCCAAAAATGCAATGATTGTAAGGTGATTCCTGGAGAGAGCCTGACCTCTCAACATAGGATTTTGGTACTAAGGGATAAACTAGAAATATTTAAGAATAGAATGGATAAGGAAGGTACTTGAGACTTGGAAGATGATGCTAACACTATGTGGAACTCGATGGCCAATTGTATGAGGAAAATCTCAAAGGAAGTGCTTGGAGAGTTGAAAGGGACGGGACCCAGCGCTAGGGAAACTTGGTGGTGGAGGGAAGAGGCTCAAGCGATAGTTAAGGCAAAAAAAGAGTGCTTTAAAAAGTGGCAAAAGGATAGAACTGAGAAAAACCTTAAAAGCTATAGATTAGCTAATACGGAGGTCAAAAAAGTAGTGAGAGAGGCTAAGTTGAAAGCTTATGATGAACTACACACTAGACTAGATAGTAAAGAATGAGAGAAGAGAGTATACAAACTTGCTATGATACGAAAGAGGAAAACAAGAGATTTTAATCAAGTCAAGTGCATCAAGAGTGAGGATTCTAAGGTATTGGTGAAGGATGAAGAGATTAAGAAAAGATGGAAGAACTATTTTGATAAACTATTAAATGAGGAACATAGAGGTACGGCAATAGGGGAAGAAATGGCTAATAATATGATAAACCAAGACTATAGGTTTTATCGCAATATTAAGAACTTTGAAGTGGAGACTGCACTTAAGAAGATGAAATCAAATAAGACTTTAGGACCCGATGATATCCCTATTGAAGCTTGGAGGTGCTTGGGTAAAAAAGGAGTTGCTTGGTTGACTAGGTTGTTTAGCAAAATTTTGTTGACTAGGAACATGCCAGATGAGTGGAAGAAGAGTATTTTTGTGTCAATATATAAGAATAAAGGAGATGTCCAGAATTGCAACAACTATAGAGGAATCAAGCTAATGTGCCATATAATGAAAGTGTGTGAGAAGGTGATGAAACGCCGATTGCAAGATATAACAGAGGTGTCAGAGAATCAATTTGGATTTATGCCCTGCAGGTCAACAATAGAAGCGATTTATCTTTTGAGGAGAGTAATAGAAAAGTATAGAGAAAAGAAAAGAGACATTCATATGGTGTTGATCGACCTTGAGAAAGCATATGATAGAGTGTCCCGAAATATAATATAGTGGGTGTTAGAGAAGAAAAGGGTGACAAAAGGTTACATTGATGTGATTAGTGACATGTATGAAGGGGTGGTGACCACTATTAGATCGCCTGTTGGAGAGACAAATGAATTTCCAATCACTGTTAGATTACACTAAGGATCTACCTTAAGCCCTTATCTTTTTGCTTTAGTTACGGATTAGTTGACGAGAAATATTCAGGATAACGTGCCATGGTGTATGCTTTTTGCAGACGATATCGTGCTAGTGGATGAGACTAGAGAAGGAATTAATACAAAGTTAGAGATTTGGAGAAAAGCTCTTGAATCTAAAAGTTTCCGGATAAGCAGAAATAAGACAGAGTACATGGAATGTAAATTTAGTAACAATAACAATGAAAGCAGAGGAGAAGTAAAGATTGAGAACCAAGAATTGCCTAAGAGTGAACATTTTCGTTATTTAGGGTTGATTATCACAAAAGTGGGGGAGATTGATGCGGATGTGGCCCATAGGATTAAGGCGGGATGGTGTAAGTGGAGAAGTGCGTCTGGGGTACTGTGCGATAAACGAATACCCGCTAAACTAAAAGGTAAGTTCTATAGAATGGCTATTAGACCAACAATGTTGTATGGGACGGAGTGTTGGGCAACCAAGAAACAACATGTCGATAAGATGAGTGTGGCTGAGATAAGGATGCTAAGGTGGATGTGTGGCAAGACTAGACAAGACAAGACAGAATTAGGAATGAATGTATTCAGGAATGGGTAGGAGTAACACCGATAGAAGATAAGTTGAGAGAGAATCGATTGAGATGGTTTGGTCACATTCAACGAAGACCAACAGAGGCAGTAGTGAAGAGATGCGATGCTGTAATGGTAGAGGGAAGTGTTAGGGGACAGGATAGGCCTAGATTAACATTGGCTAACGTTGTAAATAGAGATATGGATCTACTTAATTTGACTAACGAAATGGCCTTTGATAGGGCCGCGTAGAGAAGAAGGATTCATGTAGCCAACCCATTTGATGGGACTTAAGGCTTGGCTTGGTTTGGTTTGGTTTGGTTTGGTTTGGTTTACCCTAAGTATTTCCATTGCTTTAGTTAGACCCCTATCAATTAAATTTTCTACGAGATCAATTGTCTTGGTTTGCATGCATCAATTCCTAAGCCGACCCGGAACCCAAGAGGCAGACTCTCCAAACACAGTAGATGTTGTCTCAATGATAATACGACGCATGTTGAATTTGAATCCCCAAAATTGTTTGAGAGGTGTAGTGCACTGACCACCTTGATTTATGTGCACTGAGGCCCAAACTAATTTGAGATCCGAGAGATGGATTCTCCGAGCGCAGAATAGAATGTTACAATTTTAATACAATATAATTTATTAACATACAAACATTCTAGTCAATTGAGAAAATTGGTGCACAAAATGCCTCGGTTCGCATGAACAAGGGGCTCGATCTGGTTTGAGATTTAAGAGGTGGACAACACGAGCAAGTACATAATATTGTGTTAATTATAGCTACTATCCATAAGAGAAAAAATACGGTACAAAGAGAAATAGTGCACATGTAATGACACGCAAATTTATTCCTTTAATTAAGTAATTAATTTGTGTTAGCTGTCCATGTATCTTATTGAATGCAATAGGTTGCACTACTTTGGCGAGCCTCCACCACCACTGCATACTAAATCAAGTCTGCAAGCTTCTGTTTTACCCAAGTCAAAGTCTTACGTTTTTTCTCTTCAAACTTTGCATTTGTGGCATGCCTATTTAGGACATGTGAATTTTCAATATTTATATCTTTTATTTCCCTCATTGAATAAAGCTTGTCAAAATTATAAGTTCCAGTGTGTAGTGTGTGGATTATCTAAACATATTCGTACTAGTTATATTCCTCGTATGTCTCGTGCTTCTAGTATGATTGACCTTATTCACTCTGATGTCTGGGGAGCTTCCCTAGTTACAACTTTTTCTGGGCACCGCTATTATGTGACCTTTATTGATGATCATTTTATTTACTTAAAAAGAAATCTAATGTGTTGCTCCTCTTTCTTCAGTTTCTTCAAATGATTAAGGGGGATTTGGTGATAACCCCCTCACTATCTAATTTGTCTTTCAAAAGGACAAGAATTGTATAAGTACTTTCAAAACCCCCTAATATTTTAAAATTTGTTTCTTTTACTATATTACCCTCATATCTATCAGCTCTCCTATTAAGTCATCTTTCACTATATATTTCAGAGTAAAATTTTACTCTGTATAAAAGTAAAATTTTACTCTGTATGAAAGTAAAATTTTACGTTCTGAAACTAAAAGTAAAATTTTACTCTGTCTAAAAGTAAAATTTTACATTCTGAAACTAAAAATAAAATTTTACTCTGTATAAAAGTAAAATTTTAAATTCTGAAACTAAAAGTAAAATTTTACCCTGTATAAAAGTAAAATTTTACTCTGTATAAAAGTAAAATTTTACTCTAAATAAGAGTAAAATGTTACACTCTGAAACTAAAAGTAAAATTTTACTCTGTATAAAAGTAAAATTTTACTCTGAAAAACTAGTAAACTGTTAGACTCTACACAAAAGTAAAATTTTACTCTGTATAAAAGTAAAATTTTACTCTGAAAAATGAGTAAAATGTTAGACTCTACACAAAAGTAAAATTTTACTCTGTATAAAAGTAAAATTTTACTCTGGTTCTGTCAAATGAAATTAAAAAACAACAAAAATAAATAAAAAACAAACAAACAAACAAAAACAAAACAAATTAATCAACAAATCAACATATCTAATTGAGAAGAAAAACTTCTAAAACTCGATCAACAATCACAAATCTCAATGAAAAGAGTGTTCAACAACACTCATACACACAAATATATATATATATATATATACACATATATTCTACTATTCCTCAACCACATCCTTCCCAACTTCCTGTTCAACTTCTTTCAATCTCGAAGCTTCAGCCTTCGCATTCAACATCGCCAGCATCTCATCAACAACCTCATCATGTTTCTTCTCCGCTTCCAATTGAGCCATCTCCACCGCACTTCGAATCTCCCCCATCTGCATGGAAACCCTAGCTTTCGAATCTCCAACGACATCCTCATTCAATTTCAACAAAATTAAAGATGAGAATCGATAAATTTATGTAGAAACATCAACAAAAATCGTGAAATGTGAAGAGATTCGAATGATTTGTGAATTTAACAT